GTGAAAGTCTTCACTTGGATGTAGAATTTATTCCTACTAGAGTTCCAAGAACTAACGATAGAAGACTAAAAAACTCTAAGCTACTTCCCACTATTAAATAGGATCGCTTGTAGTTAGGATGACATCTAGGTTTTGCAATTGGAGATATGGTTCTGCTAGGATGATCTTGCACATTACTTAGGAGATCACTTAAATTTTGATATAATTTTTTAAATAGATCGAACCAGCGTTACATGAATATGGAATCAGGTATCAACTGTCTCGGTATCTTGGGATGTTGGATATGGGAGCCTTCCAATAATTTAACATGCGGACAACGTTTTGTTTCGTTGACGTGCAATAAAATTGGTAGATAGATGTGTATAATGAGCGGATGACCAAAGAAGGGCAGAGTTCAACATTGTCTATGTAGATGTTTATTCATCAATCTAGAGTTAATATCAACGTGAAGCTTGCAAGGCAATTATAACACTGTCAGAGTTTCATTACACTAGCTTGCACGACAAAAGCTTAAATTTTGAAGTGCCCAGACTCCGGATAACACTAGCTCAGCCAATAGTATTCCTTTCAGACAAGATGCAAGAGCGTGTAGTTAGATCATTAATCTGTAGTATGCAGTGAATAACATGGTATGGAGTCGGAGAGAAGTTAGATGCTAACCACTACTGTTAGAAGAGGGATTATGGATCATATGTAAAAGATAGAAGAGGCAATTAGAACGCATCAGACCTTGAATATTACAATTAAACAGAAGCAATGAGGAGACCTCATGTTTTCACATGTGAAAGCTCTCCATCCAAAGCCAACATCACCGATGTCAAAGCTTTCTTCTTCATAGACGTCATGATTAGAACCATACAAAGAACAATTGGTACAATGAGTTCTAGTTCTAGATTCAAAGTAAAATGCAGATCCAAATTTATCTCCAAAATCCAATCTAGCGGTGACAAAGAAATTAATTCCATAAGGGGAACTGAGCAGTAGATTCATTTGATTCACCTAACTCAAGCATGGATTTAACTAATTGAGACCCCCACATGATTTATTAATCGACTCCTATACCAACCTGATGGAACCGAGCAGTTGATTCATTTGATCCACCTAAGTCAAGCTCAGATTTAACAAATTGAGAGCCCCCACATGATTGATGGCATTAATACAACCTGACAGTCGGTGCAATCCATTGAAGTATATTATGCAATCTTGAGCCCTTATGGCAATTGGATTATAACCTTTAACAATGAAGAAGTGATGGTGGAAGCTCTTTGAGTTGCAAAGAAAGGAACTTGACCGGAGTCAAGCTCTGTCAGCTAGGGGGAGTTGTTGCAGATTTCAACACCACTCATGAGCACGCTCAATTGAAATGTAGACATGTTCATTTAGTTTATTGGAGTAGTAATGCTGAAGGTTTTGTTAGATAAGGTTGCTCAATTTAGTTATTGTCAAAGTCTCTGTTTCATCATGTTCTGTTACAAATACCCTTGATTTGTGTCCTTTGTGTGGGCTAAATCTTATTGTTTATATAGCGAAGAACGAACAAAGATTGGGTTTAAAAGCTAGGAATACATTGCCTTATGTATCTCATCTCCTTTCTTCTAAATAATTTAGATTCCCTATATTTTCCCCGTTTTCTTCTGTTTCCGATCTGGACATTAAAGAGATATCTACCAAGCCTCTACTTTCAGTTGTTACTTTACCTTGCTTTCCTCTTCAACCAACCGGTGTAGCAATCAAAGAATACGAAAATATCTGTTAGTGTGGTTTTTAGATCCAAGGTTAAATCAATTTCACAACTAACATATGGAAGGTTGTGGTAGCTCATGCTACTATAGTGCTTAGAGTTCAAGCAGCAGAGGAAAAAAGGTGGGGGGGGATTAATTGATCAACTTCAATTGAATATTATATAGATATGGTTTCAATTTATTGGTAGAAAAACCTTGAACTATTACTCAGAGACTCGAGAAAGTTAAAATGCATGATAAGCATGGAAATATGTCATGATATGGTTCCTAACAACAGAGTTTCTGATTCACATCACATGAAAGACAAATGCATGGTATCACTGATAGTGCACATCCATTTAGAAGGAAAGCTAATAAACTTTAGGCGGTGGCGAATTACTTTATCTGTCTTACATCCATCCTCTTTGTGCATCTTAAGTTTTTTTGTTGAAGTTCTTCCTCTCTCCATTTTCTTCCATGTTTTCATATCTCCATCCTCTAGCTCATGGAAATCTTATAGCACTTCTCGTAGTTGGATGTAGGTCTTCTAAATTTCTGAGACCCATCACAAATACCCAGTGCCAGGCAGAATCATAATACTTGTTGTGTACATTTTTATTTGACGACATATTAAAGACTCTTAAAATTGGGAGATATTTAACATCACATATACAAAATTTTAGCATATTGGTAATCAAATTCCATGAAATAAATCATTATTACTTTGATGGAACTTTCAGTATCATTAACATGCACTGCGATAGGTATTTCATACACTTAGGTTATGGACAAAGGAGTAATCTGAGTCCACTTGGTCCTTGCATATTCAAACAGAATAATCTATAAAATTTGGGTGCATTTGCCTATAATTAAGCAAAACTGATAACCTTTCTAAGTTTAGTCATCTTCAAGACTGTTTTTAGATGATTCGCTTTCAAATGCTTTGTCTTAGATCATAACCGATAAACATGATCTTATTCATTTATGCAATACCCATCATTTCACTTCATAACTACCATTTCTCTTCTGTACGTATTGTATCACAGGTACCTACTAGCTCATTTCGTATACATTAATATATGTTTATTCATAATGGAAAGCGTTCTACTTTCCCACTTCCTCTTTGTGAAATGCAGGATTGTGTCTCTACCATCCAATTTGGACTTCATGATCTTCAATCACCGTGGCAAAGCGTTGCCGTCAAATTCGGAACTGAAACTGAAAATCTAGAAACCTCGCAGGAATTTGTGCTTAAAAGGATTGCTTAAAGATTCTCAAGCTTGAGGAGGGCATCCTATATTTGGATATAGCTTATCAGTGAGAAATCTGTGTTTAGACTGGTTTGTTACTAGGAACTACACTGTTTATTTGCAGGCATCCTTGGAGGGAGCAATGTTACATTTGGGTTTTGTAAACTTTAATTTCCTGATCCTGTGACAGTTTGTACTAGATGATACTGATCATGCCCCTTGAAACTTTGTTTACTCAAACTTCTTGCAAATTTTTTCTTCTTGCGCATCAAACTTTGGTTTGGGGATTTTCGCCCTTACTCGTATGTTAAATCAGTGTTGTAATATTCAATTTATCCCAAACATAGTATAAGATAAGCATCTCATAGTCATTGTTCTCTTCTTTTGAATGTAACCAAAACTTAATATACAATGAAGTGAAACTTCGTCTCTCTTATCTTAAATGTAACTAAACTAATATAGAATGAAATTAAACTAGCATGCAGTGGTAATTAATTTTTATTGACAAATATGGCAACCCAGAATTTGCTCAGATGTGAATCTTTTAGCAAACAGGTTGAAATTTTGTTTGTGCAAGTTGGATTGATCCCCGGGGGGAAAAGCCTTCGGCATATCAATCCAGACCATAAATAGGGTGGGTTTGTTCTCTAAGCCGGCCGTACCTAATTATGCATTCATCACAAGTACATATTCGTTTTGTTGACGTGAATTGAACCAGCACATCAAAGCATACTGATGTATAACTTAAACCAAAGGGAAATGTTAAAAAGAACAGAAACGAAAAGAAAATCAAAGTATAAACTGATGCGTCACTGATGAGTTTCGTATCTAAATAAGATATGAAGAGCATACAGTCGAGGAAATTCTCCGTTTACACAACCATAAAGAATATCAAAGTCTTGATCGACGCATACCAGAAATATCTACACACAAATCAGAGAGATAACGTATATAAGAAGAAATGTCTTCTTCAATGTCGATAAGGAGGTTATCTTACAGGAACTATACATTTATATATACATATATCTTAAGATTACTGAATGCCACCAGATTATGCTCATCCGAATGTCTTCTCGCTGCTGTAGCACATGTACAAGAACCCATCCTCATCTTTGTACGACTCGTATATCGAGTACATGAGACTTGCTGTGAAGTAAATGACAAAAGGCAGCTATTCAATTTCTATCATCACATAATGTGTCGAGGGAAATTAGAGAGAGATGTCATTGAGAGGATGGATACCTGTTTGAGGTAAAGTGTCATTAATGAATACAAAGAGTGCTCTCCCAGAAGCAAGATGCAGCCTACACCTCAGGATGTGAATGAACTGGCCTACTGACATGTCTCTAGGAACCAAATATCTGCAGCAGGAGAGTATATTATATAAATGTATTGCATTTTCGGTGCAATAAGTAAGTTGCTCAGCAGAAAAATTTGGAAGCAGCTATAGTTGATCGTAAAAGAGCCAAAAGAACAGGAAATCTATTTCATAAGAATAGTAGTCATCCTTTCCTGAATTTGATTATAAAAAAAACACATGCTTCCATGCATTTCCTCAGAAATGAGAGTTGGAAAATAATATACACCATGGAAGCTAAGTAGTAATAATTCATCATAGAATCCACATGGCTGGCTGTCCATACCTCATTAGTCCCTATGTCTTCCCTCTCATTAAAAGTATACCAACTGTTTCAAAAAGAATAATCTTATCCTCTTCTTGTTGAGAAATGTCAATTTAGGCTCAGGCATCAATAGTTATTCTTATACACATATTAAAGAGAAAAGAGTAGAGAGGGTAAACATGTTTAATTATTTCAACTCCTGAAAAGAGATGGAAAAGTTACTAGAGTACAGAGAGTATATGATTTGAAGTCAAAGCAAGTCAAGAGTTCCGACTCACTTTCTCTTCTCCATCTCAGGAAGATCGCTCCTTGAAAATCTTTCTGCAATTACCTTAAAAAGACAAGTGAAAAATACAAATCAAAATTATACACCAACAAGAAAATAAAAGATAATAAAGTTTATTAAGCAATCTTGATATACACGCATTTCAATCATATTTAGCGTAATCACAGAGTTCAGAAATACGTAGTGCACTGCTCTCTTATTATAGTCTTTATCCCATATGAACATTCTCCCATATAAACAATCTGTCTACCACCAAAGTTACCGAAAAGAAAAAAAATAACAATGCAATGAACATGTAAAAGCAGCTAATAAAAAATCTGATAACTCGAGAAGCACATAATATCTGAATTAAACTAGCTGTTGAAACTATAAAACACATGCTGTGATAACTCTAGAAAAGCATCAAATAAAAGCTAAGAGCATCAAATAACATGTTAGCACAAAGAAATACTATGTCAATTGTCAAAGCACTTCTGTGCTTGTTCAAATAGAAATTTAGGGGCCATCTTAAGAAAGCGAGGAGAAATTTCCCTTCTTTGAAATTTTTGCCTCGTAATTAGGTTCACATGTTAAGATAAACAGATCATAGTTGAGATAAGTGACACAGCATCAATATATTTACAGTTAAACCCCCATGAACTTTCAGTGTTTTACAGCAAACCCACATGAACTTTCAAAATCACACTAAT